CCTCCTCCTCCGCCTTCGCCCCACTATAACACCAAAGGCGCCGGGCACTATAGGCAAGATTCGTCGTAAAATGAGCGCCGAAAATCATCAGGGTGACTTACAGCACGTTCTGAAATAAATCGTTTCTGGAGGAAACAAATCGTCGTAAAATGTCTGGCGCCTCCCAGAGCCTCTGCTTTCCCGTCTTGAACCATCGTAGTTTTTTCTTCCTCCTCATCTTCCTCCTCCTCCACCGTAGCCCCATGGCCCCATACCACCTCTACCTTAGAGGCCCCTGGGCGGCAAGTTCGAGCGACAACATTCGGTATCGCATAGAATGGGGGAAAAAACGCTGGACACTTTACGACGATAGTGAGGGAATGCAAGATTCCCCGTAAAATGTCCAGCGCCTCCCTCTGCCTTCCCGTCCTGAACCATCGTAGCCTCCTCTTCTTCTTCCTCCTCATCCCCCTCCTCCACCTTAGCCCCACTATACCACCAAAGGCGCCAGACATTTTACGACGATAGTTGGGCCCAGCTCCGCAGCCCTGCCCAGCATAACGCAGCCCAGAACGCCTGCCACCGCAACCTCTCGATTCCTGCCCAGGCGCTCCCCTTGGCGCTCCCTTGGCGCTCCCTTGGCGCTCCCTTGGCGCTCCCCTGGCGCTCCCTTGGCGCTCCCTTGGCGCTCCCCTTGGCGCTCCCTTGGCGCTCCCTTGGCGCTCCCTTGGCGCTCCCTTGGCGCTCCCACTGGTGTTCGCCAGGGAGCTCCCCGCTACGGTTTTCCTGTGGGTTTATTGTTTTAGTAGCCTGATTCTGCTACTTTTTGGGGTACCTCCCCAGGGTGCTTGCCGCGGGCGCTCCCCTGGCGCTCCCCTTGGCGCTCCCTTGGCGCTCCCCTTGGCGCTCCCTTGGCGCTCCCTTGGCGCTCCCTTGGCGCTCCCTTGGCGCTCCCTTGGCGCTCCCTTGGCGCTCCCTTGGCGCTCCCTTGGCGCCCCCTTGGCGGCCCCTTGGCGCCTCCCCTTGGCGCCTCCTGACCGTCTCCAGGTCGCCCGGAGGCTGGAGGGGGGTCATGACCGTCTCCGGGTCACCATGGAGGCGAGTCCTGACCGTTTCCGGGTCGCCTGGAGGGGATGACCATCTTCGGGTCGCCCGGACGGGTCCTGGAACACACGCCGTTCTTGGGAATTCGCACGGGCCTTGGAATACGCATTCTGCGATGGCTGATCCAGCGTCGCCACTCCTCTGCATTGGTGGAGGTTCGCCCGTCGGATGAGGGCGGCACCGTTACTGGTAACTCGTACGTGCGGGTCCTGGAACACACGCCGTTATTGGTAACCCGTATGGGGTCCTAGAATACGCATTCTGCGATGGCCTGGTGGATGACTTCGGCCTGCCGGCCTGCCCTTGCCGAAGATACCTTTTCCTTGGTGCCATCTGGCTCCAGTGCGGCCGTCCGCCGCATGCTTTCGCCGCGGCATCTCGACGCGGCGTCTCTATCTGCAACTCTGCAACTCCTCCTCCTCCTCCTCCTCCTCCTCCTCCTCCTCCTCCTCCTCCTCCTCCTTCTCTTCCTCCTCCTCCTCTTCTTAGCCTTTAATGGACATGTTCTTAAATATTTTAGACCATGTAAAGATCTCAACCCATAACAATCTTCTTCTCTTCCTTGGCACGCTCGACCCCCTCCTCCTCCATCCTCCCTCCCACCGCCTTTCTCCTCCATTTCCTCCTGCTCCTCCCGCTCCTCCTCCTCCTCATCATCATCCTCCTCGTCCTCCTCCTGCCCCCCCTGCCCATCGATGAACAGGCGTTGGCATTCAAACGTCGAGGCCGTCAGCTGAGTCAGCTGAAACCGCGAATGATGATGATGATAATGCTGACTTCGGTGGGTTGGCAACGACCCCCGGGAAGTTGACAAGGGCCCCAGGTCAGTTGACAATAGACAATAGACAACAAGACAACAAGGGACCCCGGTAAAGTGACAAGACTCCCTTGTAAGTTGGCAGCGACCCCTGGTGACCTGGTGAGTTGACAAGGACCCCCCGGTAAGTTGACAAGACCCCCCGGGCCCCGGCGTGTTGACAAGACCCCCCAATAAGTTGACAAGGCCCCCCTGGTAAGTTGACATGGTCCGAGGCCGAGCCGAGACCCCGGAAGCGGTTGAACTTGAGACGCGTCTTATACACGAACGGGGTTGGCATGCAGATGGGCATGCGGCATCTTGGTGCAAAAAAAAGGTAAGTTGACAAGACCCCTTGGTAAGATGGCAAGGACCCCTGGTAAGTTGACAACAAGGTCCCTCGGGACAAAGCCACTGGATATGTTGTGAATCAGGGCCCCCGGTAAATCGACAACGACACCCGATTGGCCGATTGGGGCGGCCCCGCTTGCCACCTTTCCGCTTGCGGAATTGGTTGTGCCCTGAGGTGCAGTGAATCCCCCCATCGTCGGCCCAACCACCAACAGCCCAATGTAGGATCAGATTCTATTCTAGATCCGCCAGTGTGGGTGTCATTGCCAATTTGCTGCTGGTGCTATTGTGGTTGTTGTTGTCGTTGTCGTTGTTCCATCCGCTTGTCCATTTTGGCTCAGGAAGAATTGGGAATGACACTGATCTCCAAACCGCAAGTTTCACCAGAAAATGCGAAATCCCTTCCGATTCTCCCAGGGCCGCAATACCTGCAACAGTTGTCAGCACGTTTCTTGTCCCGGCTTTCCAGCGATGTACGGTCTCAGATGCAGGCGTGGTGTGTCAGAAATAGCGGTAACACATTCAACATTGGCACAATGTGTTCAGGAACGGATAGCCCGATTTTGGTATGGCAAGCGTGGCTCCAAACTTTGCGCGACTTGTCTGGCGGGGGCCCAATGATGCATCACAGTATGTCTTCAGAGATCGATCCCAGGAAGCAACGGTTTCTCATGCGCATGATGCCTCGCATGGGTTTGCTGTTTGCAGATGCCCGCGAGCTGTCCGCTACCCATGCCGTGTCCGTTAATACAGGGAAGGTCGAGCAGGTGCCGAAGGACTTGTTCGGTTTGGTCGTGGGTTTCCCTTGTACCGCCGCAAGCGGCTTGAATTCTAAATCCAGTTCCCAACAAAATCGACAGTGTGTGAAGACAGGCGAACTCGCGACTGGTGAGGTTTTCCAATCAATAGTCAACTTCATTCGTGCGCATGGGTCTTCTTTGTCGCACTTGGTGTTGGAGAATGTCTTGGCCTTGGGCCGGGGGGATGAAAACGGACAGAGCAATTTGGACTACGTTTTGAATACGTTGCGAAACCTGGGTTGGTTCACCATTCATTGGCATTTGGACCCTCGTTTATGGGGGTGCCCCGTGTCGCGACCTAGGGTGTGGATTCTTGCTTTTCCATTTGCAGTCCTCGAGGAGCGCGGCTTGAGCGTCGAAGCGGCGACCCGACTAGGGGAGGAGTGCATGAACGCCCTCGCAAGTTCGCGACTTGCTCCCTTGGAGTCGTACCTCCTCCCAGAGAGCCACCCATATGTGAAGGCCGTTCACGAACCTGCCTTGCAACATCGCTTGCAGCGCATGGGCGAGCAACGGTTGGCACGCGTGCTTGCGTCTGGCGTCGTCCACAGGGCCAATTTCAAATATTCGGCGCTTCGCGCGCTCCCACCGGCCCACCTTGCAATGGCGCTTGGCCGCTTTGAGGGCACGGAGTATGATTGCGGCAAGGAGGGGGAGGAATTCAAAGATGCTGATGAGGCGCATGGGCGACGGAGGAGTGGGAATGACGAGGAGGTGTAGGCGGAGCGGGCAGTGGTGGTCGTGATGCGATGCCGATGGCGATCAGGATGGCGATGATGATTTATCTCGAGGCCTTTTTTGGGGCATGTGCAAATTGGGAGCCATCTGAAACGATCTTGGCAAGGAGTATGCGACCAGCTTGTAGGCCAATCCTGGGCTCTACGAGGCCACCTTGGGCCTTTTTGGATGCCCCGGCCGGTCGCGAACCCTTCCTCCCAGGCCCAGGGGCAAGGGGTAAGCAGAGGGGCCTGAAAGGAAAACGAGCCTTGGAAGACGAAGCGCGCTAAACCAATTTCGCCTTTACAAGGCTTGTCGGATTTAAAATTGACGAGGACGACTTAAGCGAAGATTGGCATGAAAAAACACTGCGTCATTATATGGCGCAGGGCATACAGTGGTGGCGACAGGGAAAATTGAGCCCATCAACGCTTATATGTTTTCCGGGGCTCGCGAGATTATCTGACCGTGAGTTGGCACAGTTGACTCTAGAGAGGGTCAGCTTTCCAGAGGACCAACTTTGCAGCATGGAGGTTGGCCAGAGAGGCTGCAAGCGCAGCAGTGACAATTTCCAGGCGTTGATCCCGAGGGGTAGGTTGTATCTTACGTCTAGGTGTCGTTTGTTGACAGGTTTAGAGTTCGTGTTGGCACAGGGTATTTGGTACGATTCCCCTGAGCACTTGCACGATTTCCAGATCCGTTCTTGAGGGATTTAGCAGGGAATGCTTTTGACGCCAGTTCTTGCTTAGCCGCAGTATGCGTTGCCTCGTGCATTTTATCGCACGTTCGCGTTGCATAGATAGGTCTTCTCGCCCCATGCTCATGCGTCGGTGAACTGCTGTCGTTGGATAGTCAGCGCAGCCTCGCATCAACCGATGTTTAGAGTTGCTGCCCTTGCACGGGGATCCCACTGCGTCCCTGTCAGATCGCTGACCTCGTTGCGCGTTGGCGTGCTGTATGGGCCTGCGCTTTTGAAAACCTATCAAGCTTCAACTATCAAGCGTTTCCACGATGCCAACCAGTCGGTTCCGAACTCATTCAATGATGCCCCCCTCTCAGTTGCCGCGGCATTGCGACTGCCCTCGCCCTTGCCACGCACCGGGGTCTTATCGAAACCACACCTTTCTTCTGTAGGCGCCCGCTCATCTTGAACAGGTGCCTGGGGTTGGAGGGCGGCTGGGGCCACCGGGCAGGGCCGGGACAGGGGGGGGCGCTGCAGAAGAGGGGGAGGGGGCGGGGGTTTGCCCATTCACGCTCGTTTCTTTTGCTTGCAGCACGGCGCCCAGTGCCCCGCCGCGTTTGGCAATTTTACTTCTGGGCAGCCTCTTATCTCAAATCGCGGTTGTCCGAGGAGCCACCGTGCGCGGTGCCGCGTTGCGTTGTCTAGGGGCGTCGGGGCAGCATGTCGAGTATTCTCGACGGCGCAGAGGGCCATGTCGAGCCGCCGCCGCAGGTGTTCCCTCGCGTGCGCAGGCCGTGCAAATGGTGCTTGCGGTACAACGACACGCCGAACCCGATCTTGAGCAAGCGCGCCTCGCACCCGCACTTGACTTGGCGCCGGGAGAAGGGTTGTGAGTGTAGCAATTGCCCGTGGGTTCTCGCAGCGTACGAAGAGTACGAAGAAGATAAACCGACCTCCTCGCAAAGTTCAACGTCGATGGTGGCAAGTCCCTGAGGCCGCTCTTCATAGAGCGGCTCGAGAAGTGGGAGGCGGAGAAAAACACCAACCCCACTGGCAAGACCAAGAGTGGGAATAAGAAACCTGCTGGGGCCCCTCGCAAAGTCACGGCGAGATGCACGGCGGGCAGGGAAACCAAGGAATTCTTGGGTTATTTTTGGAGGGAGAAGTTGTGGAAGGAGCATCACCCAGGAAAGAAACTCACGAAAAAGGATATCACGTGGATCAACCACAATGGGAAGCGAGAGAAAGGCATCATTCTGGACGAGAGCCACGGTAAACCCATCGGAGTCATTGAGGTCAATGACATTAGCCAGATCGCTGTGGACAAGACTGGCCAGCTAGCAGCCAGCGACAGCGATTTGGACGACGACGTCGACGCTGCGTTCGAGCACGCTTCGAAGAGGATGCGTTTTTCGGCCTCCAAGAGCGAGAACTCCGACGTCGGCGCCTATAAGCTCAAGGGGGAGTCCGCATCCCGAAAGGATGGCGCACCAGGCCCATGAAGGGCCAAACAATGAACGCAGAGGGCCTTTTTGTCCTCTTCGTCCTCGTCCTACTTCTCCTTCGCCTCCCTCCTCCTCCTCGTCGTCGTCGACCTCCTCCTCCTCCCTCCTCCTCCCTCCTCCCTCTCTCATCTCTCTCTCTCTCTCTCACCCTCTCTCTCTCTCTCCCTCTCTCTTTCTCTCCTCTTTTTTTCATCTCTCTCTCTCTCTCTCTGTCTCTGTCGATCTCTCTCTCTCTCTCTCTCGCGCTATCTCTTTGTTCCTTCCTTTCTCTTTTCCTCTCTCTCTCTCTTTCTTTCTCTCTCTCTCCCTCTCTCTCCCTCTTTTTTTCTCTCTCTCTCTCTCTCTCTCTCTCTCTCTCTCTCTCCCTATCTCTCTCTCTCCCTCTCTCTCTCTCTCTCTCTCTCTCTCTCCTTTTTTCCCGGAAAGGGCAAAGGCCCAGGGTTCTCTTTTAGTATGTAAACAATGTCCCCCCGTGCCCAACTTGAAGGAGGCCGGCGGATTCTTTCCCTGATAAATATCGAGGTCGAAGGAGGCCGGCGGATTAAACATTGAGGATGTCTCAGGCGAAACGCTTGTTTTTTGAAATCCCGATCGATAAGTCACAGGATGCGGGCCACTTTTTCGTGCGTTGAGGATGTCTCGAGCGAAACGCTTGCTCCGCAGGGTATCACAGGGGTGCTAAGACCCAGCACGACCACACCCCAGCACGACCACACCCCAGCACGACCCCACCCCAGCACGACCACACCCCAGCACGACCACACCCCAGCACGACAAGCACGACCACACCCCAACACTACCCCACCCCAGCACGACCCCACCCCAGCACGACCCCACCCCAGCACGACCACACCCCAGCACGACCCCACCCCAGCACGGCCCCACCCCAGCAAGACCACACCCCAGCACGACCTCACCACAGCACGACCTCACCACAGCACGATCACGCCCCAGCACGACCACGCCCCAGCACGACCACTCCCCAGCACGGGAAGAAACTCGACCCAGGGAAACGCGCAAAACCCGGGAAACCACACCGCGAACCCAGAACCGACAAAAACCCGAACCCGAGAAACGACGCACACACGGACCCGAAAACCCAGAGCCACGACCCAGAGACACCCGACCCACGCCAACAGGGGAAACCCAGACACGCACGTCGAGATGCTGAAGACACGCCTTCTCCTTCTACTCCTCCTCCTCTCCTACCCTCCTCCTCCTCCTTCGGGAGGAGGGGGAGCCTTCGGGAGGAGGGGGGGGGGAGAAGGCGGAGGTGGAAGGGGGGTGGGCCATGCCGCCGCTGCCGGCATGCTCTCCGGCATGGTGATGTTTTCGTCGTCGTCGTCGACGCCGAAAATATCACCAAGGACCAGATCTTTTGAAACAGCTGGCTCAAAAGATTTGGTCGCTCCGTCGTCGTCGTCGTCGTCGTCGTCGTCGTCGTCGCCGCCCAAGACATCACCAAGGACCAAATCTTTTGAAACAGCTGGTTCAAAAGATTTGGTCGCTCCGTCGTCGTCGTCCGTCGTCCGTTGTCGTCGTCGTCGTCTTCGTCGTCGTCGTCGTCGTCGCCGTCGTTGTCGTCGTCGTCGCTGCTGCCGAAAACACCGCCAAGGACCAAATCTTTTGAAACAGCTGGTTCAAAAGATTTGGTCGCTCCGTCGTCGTCGTCGTCGTCGTCGTCGTCGTCGTCGTCGTCGTCGTCCGTCGTCGTCGTCGCCGCCGAAGACATCACCAAGGACCAAATCTTTTGACACAGTTGGTTCAAAAGATTTGGTCGTTCCGTCGTCGTGGTCGTCGTCGTCCGTCGTTGTCGCCGTCGTCGGAGCCGTCGGGGTCGGGGTCGGAGTCGGAGTCGGCGCCGGAGTCGCCGTAGTCCGTCGTCGCCGTCGTCGTCGTCGTCGGAGTCGTCGTCGGAGTCGTCGTCGTCGTCGCCGTCGCCGTCGTCGTCGTCGTCGTCGTCGTCGACGTCGACGCCGATAACATCACCAAAGACCAGATCTTTTGAAACAGCTGGCTCAAAAGATTTGGTCGCTCCGTCGTGGTCGTCGTCGTCCGTCGTCGTCGTCGTCGCCGCCCAAGACATCACCAAGGACCAAATATTTTGAAACAGCTGGTTCAAAAGATTTGGTCGCTCCGACAGGGTCGTCCAGTCGTCCCTTCTGAAGCATGTCGTCGTCCGTCGTCTTCGTCGTCTCGTCTGTTCGTCGTCGCCGTCCGTTGTCGTAGTCCTCCGCTGCGCTAGCCGAAAACACCAAACCAAGGACCAAATCTATTGAAACAGCTGGTTCAAAATATTTGTCGCGTCCGTCGTCGTCGTCGTCGTCGTACGTCGACGTCGTCGTCGCCGTCGTCGTCGTTTTTAGGGGTCCCGCCGCCGAAGACATCACCCAAGTACCACAGCCAATCTTATGACAACAGTTGGTTCAAAAGCGTTGGTCGCTCCTCGTCCGTGGTCTTCTCGTCCGTCGTCGTCGCCGTCGACGGAGACCGTCGTGGGTCGGGGTCGGAAGTCCAGGAGTCGTCCGCCCGGAGTCGCCGTAGTCCGTCGTCCGCCGTAGTCCGTCGTCGCCGTCGTCGTCGTCGGAGTCGTCGTCGGAGTCGTCGTCGCCGTCGCCGTCGTCGTCGTCGTCGTCGTCGTCGTCGACGCCGAAAACATCACCAAGGACCAGATCTTTTGAAACAGCTGGCTCAAAAGATTTGGTCGCTCCGTCGTCGTCGTCGTCGTCGTCCGTCGTCGTCGTCGTCGCCGCCCAAGACATCACCAAGGACCGAATCTTTTGAAACAGCTGGTTCAAAAGATTTGGTCGCTCCGTCGTCGTCGTCAGTCGTCCGTCGTCCGTTGTCGTCGTCGTCGTCTTCGTCGTCGTCGTCGTCGTCGCCGTCGTCTCCTTCTACTCCTCCTCCTCTCCTACCCCTCCTCCTCCTCCTCCTTCGGGAGGAGGGGGAGCCTTCGGGAGGAGGGGGGGGGGGAGAAGGCGGAGGTGGAAGGGGGGTGGGCCATGCCGCCGCTGCCGGCATGCTCTCCGGCATGGTGATGTTTTCGTCGTCGTCGTCGACGCCGAAAACATCACCAAGGACCAGATTTTTTGAAACAGCTGGCTCAAAAGATTTGGTCGCTCCGTCGTCGTCGTCGTCGTCCGTCGTCGTCGTCGTCGCCGCCCAAGACATCACCAAGGACCAAATCTTTT